TGCGCAAACAAAAATTAGCCAATAGCAACTATCTGACTCTTTTTGTTACTTTGCAGAAATAATGTAACTGGCCTTTTGTAACTTTGCAGAAATAATGAGTTCCTCTAGTGTGACTGGAGTGGTAACTTGAACTGTATTCTGCGTTTCCTGCAACTGGCCTTGCAGCTGACATCACTAACAGATTTAAGATGTGCATCAGATACAGAATGTGTCAGATCCCCTGTGAGCTGTTCTAGAGAATATAGGCTACATAGGAACAATGTCTATCCCTGCGTTTAACTTTCTATTAACCTAGCCCAGATATTTGTTTGTTGTTAACAGCAGCAATCAGAAATATTGGTGCAGATACAGATTGAATTAAATTTTTATAATGCTACACTAATTACAGCTAATTCAGAATCCAATCCAGAATGTGTGCTATTCTTACATTTGCCCATATGAGTGCATATCACAATGGAGGACCGGTTACATGAATAATAATGTATTATCTTCTTGTTTTTGATATTCAGAACTAATGATTCTTTTTTTTATTTATATGACCTGACATTTTGTCAAACTTTGAAAATCTTAATCTAATAGAATGCATACAATGTTAAATTCAATTTTTTTGAATGTGCTGAAAGAGTAAAGAAGACAACGCAGCAGGCTACAATTTACTATCAGCTTCAATCACTTCAATTAGTGACAAGAGATTATTGCTACAATGGGAATGTAGAGAATCTAACAGTTCTATGCAATGGTTATTAACAAGTAAGCATGAGAAGTGGAATGCTAAAGTTTTGATTCCCAGGGAAGCACAGGAAAAGAGCTTTCTAGAGATGAAGTAGAAGGACTAGATATGCTGTAAATGTTTCACCTCTTCAGTGACTGATAACTGTCTATGCATTCACAATAAGATATAGCTTGTAATCGTGAACTTCAGCCTTATGGATGCCTGCCTCACAGGGTTTTATAATTCCCTATATTTGTCTATGTTTTTTGGGCCAATTGAAAGTTTAGGTCCTAAAGCTCTGGAGAGCAAAGGATTGCCTATTACTGTGTGGGTAAAACAAACTTTTGTTAGAAAATGTAGTGTTAAAAACCCAAACAGTCATAAATTAGCAAGAGTATTTTGGCTTTTTATATATGTGTATAATCTAGATCTCAGATAACTGAAAGATTGCCTCTTTCCACATATTCTTGTTTCTTAGTTAAGAACTCCCGTGGCCTTGTACTGTTTTATAGATTAAGCAGGGAGATCCTAGAAAAAAGAATCTTTATGTTTAAGTATAGTAGTACTATGAGCATACTCCCTGCCTCCTTCCTCACACAAGATCTTTTAGGATCTTATTCTAAAACTTTAAAATGCCAGCTAATTTTATTCTGATATTTAACAATATATTTAATTAGTAAATTAATCAGATTTTAGTTGTATTGAGAATTGATTTAATTACATTTATGGTACCTTTATTTAGACTTCTAAGTGCTGGCTCTAATTGTTTCATTGTCTATTTATATTTACTTTTTGCTATTGCTTTAATTGTATTTTATTGTTTTACATTTTAAATCATTTAGCGACCATCTAATGAAACATGGGATAGAGAATTGAACTATTAAATGGAATAAAAAAAATATTGCACATTTTCCATGCTTGTTACTCTTTGGCATGGATGAATCATAATATGTAGCATGATGATGATGATGATGATGATGATGATGATGATATTAACTATTCAATCATGTCCAGTTCTTCATGATTCTATGGACTAGCTCTTTTCACCTTTTCAAATCTTGTATGGCTTCCTTCATTTGTTTTATGCTCTGGCTAATATATATCAGTGTGCAGAAAATATTTAACTCAATGGTCTTTCCAGTTACAGAATTGAACATAAGAAATACAAAGAGGGCTAGAGCTGACCTTTTGTCAATAGAGGTTGGAAAGAGAAAGTACTATGTGATATTTAATTATAGTCTGTTTTTAACACATTTTAGGTGATTACCACAGGCATATACAGGGCAGACTTATTTTTCCTGGTAACCCTGGGAAACTAGAAGATTTTCCGAGAGAAGTGGATGCTATTTAAAATATTATCATACTAAGCATTTGCTTTAAAAGCAAATAACTGGTCTTTGCAGTTGCTGAAGTAATTTTAATAAGAACAATGCACTATTATCCTAAGCTATAGCTACATGTAGCTACCTAAAGTCGTCTCCCTTGGATATCTCAAGTACTTTGTGCATGTCAGAGAGCAGATATCACAGTGGGAGGCAATTTAAAATTCTTTTTTAAAGGTTTAAGAGATTCTGTATTGTTTGTAATGCCGATTTCATGGGCAATTTGAAAATACAAATGATTATAACAGGTGATGAATTTTATAAACCATCATGAAAATGATGGGAATA